CAAATTATTAAAAACTTGGTTTTGCATAATATGTCCCGTTTAATGGAAGCACACGCATGCATAAAGGTATGCATCAAATACGAAAGAAGACAGAAATACTTTAGTAATCAGGTAGTAATCAGGCCTAAATAAGACCTCCGGTGGACACACCAGCCCCCGAAAAACGTCCTAGAGTTTGCCCATTATTTATTCTTCTCTGACTTTCGTGTCCACAAACAGGTCGAGAGACGTCGCGGAGCTGCGTGCCAACATGACCTTTAACCCCCGGAAGATCAGCCTGCAGAAGTCCCAGAACCAGTGCGAGCACGGGGACCGGAGGTCCGCCTGCGTGAACGCCACCGTGTGCTTCCACTACCACGTCAAGTCCGACAACGCGGCCCGAGACGAAGCGGCAGGTGGGCCCCAATCCACGCCGCACGCCATCCGGCACGCCACACGCTCGCCTCCTGTTCGAGGAGGCAAGCAACAGGCATTGAGAATTAGCCTTAGCTAAATTGTCATAGTGTGTGACATGTTTCATGAAACATACTTGTCCCTATCAAATAAACGAATAAATAAATAAATAAACAGGCGAGCAACAACTAAAAAATGAGCCCCTCTATGCTTTCACAGCTTAAAAACTGGGCACCTTTCTGACATTCTCAGAACAGATCTGGCAGAATACAAACTTTAAAAAAAGGAAGTTTTTCCTTGCCTGTGTCGCCTAGTGCTTGCTCGTGGTGGGAATTGTCGGGTTTCTGTAATCAACTTCAGAGTAGGGTCTGACCTGCTCTGTTTGGAAACCGCTATGAGACGACTGTTGATGTGATGTGGCGCTATATAAATAAAATTGAATTGAATTTAATTGTTCTCAATCATTTTATCTTCTCGTTCCGCCTCCTAGAGATGGGCTACACCTTGGTCCTGGACGCTCTGCGGGCGCTGTCCAGGGCCACCGTCATCGACGGGGACAAGAGCGACCGTAAGATCGCCAGGACCTTCCAAATCCGGCACGGAGAGGGGAAATGCATGAAGGAGACCATCATGATGTCGGTGAGTGCTCTCCTCCATTAAAGGGGTCGGTTTCCATTACTGCCTGCGAGCGATCAGCCGTCAGCTCCACTTCCCCCCCCCCCGGGATCCATGTTCAAACAGAGCCGGTCTCGACTAAACGGCTTTGAGAGAAGACAGGCCAAAGCTGTGAAGGGGCTTATGCTAATCAGTGTTAGCCCGATTCTTTAGTCGGAAACCTGAGAATAAACCAGAGTGGATCAAAAGTTTAAAAAATGACGTGTATTAGGTCACAGTTAAGTATATCCGCTGGGCTCTAACAGACAAAAACCTCTCTCTGGGTCTCAGTGG